GATAGATAGATAGATAGATAGATAGATAGATAGATAGATAGATAGATAGATAGATAGAAAAAAAGAAAGAAAATTCCATTTCATTCCCCACAACAGCATGGTAAATTTTACATATGAAGAAACTGAGGCTCAAAGGGAAGAAGTGATTTGCTCAGAGGTCACACAACTAAAAAGGCTGGATTTGAACTCTGTTCTTCCTGACTCCAAATCCCAGCATTTAATCCTCTATACCACCTTGCCTCCTCACCTATATGGAGAAGAGGCATTGTAAGCCCTGAGGGAGGAGAAAGGAGCAAGGACACTGTGGGGTGGATTGTTTTTCTCTTCTAGAAATGGCCATAATTTCTCAGAAATACCTTGTATCTACAGTTTCCCCATCCAAACTCCAAATAGGTAGCCCTAGAAGTGAACTTCAAGCTTCAGGGAGCCCTGCACCCTATCTATCTGTACCCTTTCCTCCTCCCCATTCTGCCCCTAGGGGAGACAAAGATGGGGAATATCTCTCAGTTCCCTCTCAGCTGGTAGGGCTTGCAGGAATCAGGTCTGTGCTCTGCACACAGATGAGCAGCCAACCAGGCAAAGCCTCAGAGCTGCAAAGTCACAGCTCAGGGAGGAAATAAAGACATTTCCTGCTCATCTGGATTCAGGTCCCGTCTCTCCCAAGAGCATTGCCCAGCCTGGGCCTAGCAGGGCTCCTGTGGCCTTGGATCTTCCAGGCTGTCCTCATCCCTACCTAGGAAATGGACCAGGGCAACCCTGGCACACCACTCCTCTCCCACACCCATCCCCACCCAACCCCCAGCACAGATCTCTTCTTTTCCCATTCCCTTTTACCCTTCATTTCCTCCAAAAAACCTGAATGTGAGAAACCAGCCCCTGTAAATATTTCTCCAGTATCACATTGTCAAGGACTTGCCCTCTTTGACTCAGCACCCAAGGGAATGTCTTCCCCACCCCTGGAGGGGCCTTGACTATAGAAGCCCAGTTTCTCTAGGGAGCAACAGGGCCTGAATCTAGAGGTGTAAGAAATATTTTGTCATTTCTGTAACTTTTCTGCATTTTGAATCAATTAATCCATGTGTTAACGAGAGGAAAGTAATTTTTCCCCATTCATTCAACAAACATTTATTGAGCACTTACTATGATTTAGGAACCTAGATTAGGAACCTAGAAAGAAAAACAAGAGACATAGGCCCTGCCCTCCAGGGGATTATGGGACATAAATAAATGTTCAGTACAATAAGTTTCATAAGTGAATATAAATGCCACATGGATGGAGTGTATAAGAAGGGGTTCAGGAGGGGAAGCTTACTGTGGGCAATCATTAGCCATTGGATGGCTTGGGCTGCCCCCAGTACTCCAGGTAGATGGGAACACTGAGATACTGAAAATCTACTCTGGATTCCAGGATGAAAGGCCTCAGGTCTCTGCATTCACCCCAACTCCTACCTTCCAAACACACCTGGCTCCTTCCAGTAGCAAACCTCCCTAGGCTACATCCTGCAGTTCCTTTGCCTGGAGAAGTTACCAGCATAGACTAGGAGTGCTCACAGGTTTCAATATCCCTCCTGGATTTTTCAATAGCCTATTCAATAGCCCAGTCTGGAAAAATGTCTCATTTTTCATGCCTCCAGTCCCCCACCCTGACAGACCTACACTTCTCCATTTGTAATTCCCTGCTCAGTGACAGATAAGTCTCTGCCTTTTCTTATAAGCCCAGACAACTCTAGCAGATTGGGGATGGGGAAAGCCAGAGCTTTCTGCTGTTTCACCAAAAACATGGCTACAAACAGACATGGAACCCAACTACAAGCAGGACCCAACTCTGGGAATACATTTGGGAAAGAGAGGTCCAAAGTCAATTATTTGGTAACAGGTAAGTAGAAAGGTGACCTTAGGCATAATGCTTGGAAATGTTCCAAAAACAATTTGCTTGGTACCAAATGCTATCCTAGGCACTGCAGATACAAAGATTAAAAAAAAAAAAGAGGGCCAGTCCCTGCCCTCAAGGAGTTTAGAGTCTACAGAAGGGAGTTACACAGATAAGTGTAAATTGTATGCAAAATAAAAATACAAAGTAATGTCTAGAGAGTAGAAAGAGCCCTCACAAGAGGAGGCAGAATTCTGGAAAACTTTCCTTGAGAAGGTTGAACTGAGGCCTGATGGAAACTAGAGATTCCAAGAGACAGAAGAGAGAAGAGAGCATTGCAGACATGGGGGACAGCTTCCCCCATGGCAAAGAGGTGAGAGATGTAACACAATATAGATACAACAAACATTTATTAAATGTCAACAATATGCAGAACAGTGTGACAGGGGGAGGGGAAGGAGTTTGAAAATAAGAGTACCTACTGTGTGCAAAGCCCTGATTAAAGGGAAAAGAGAAGGTATTTGCTAAAACCCGGACTCATTTAAATCATAATTCAGCTCCATTGGTGGCGATTGGTAGGCCTCAGACCAGGCAAATTGATTCCAGTATGAACTAATCTTAATGCACCAGGGTTATGTGACAGGGGAAGCCTTGAAGCTATATTCAGATATACATGTGGTATCCAACACCCACATTCTTTCTGCTCCTCTGCTCTACAGAAGACTGTTTCAGCAAATATTAGCCCCACTCTCTCCTAAAGCAGAATCTGGAAGGTATAAGAAAATGGAAGATAGGTACTCACCACTGCTGGACTTCCTTCTCAGTAACTGCAAAAGAGAAGAAGAAAAAAGTTTCAGCAATCAATCAATTAATAAGCATTTATTAAGCACCTACTATGTGCCAAGCACTGTGCAAAGTACAAATTCACTACACTATAGGAGAGGAGAGGAGGGAGCATGGGAAAACACACACAGAGATAAACTCAAAACGTTAGAGCTGGAAGGGACAATAGACACCATCTAGTTCAATGCCTTCATTTTGTAGATGGGAAAACCATTATTCCAAGGAGAAGTGACTTATCCAAAATTACAGAGTGAGTTAGTCCAAGAGCAGGGATTGGAGTTCAGAGCCACAGTAATATTATCTTCTAGTAGTAATATCCTTCTACGATAATATTCTCATTCCACCTTGCTATAGAAAGCTGTCAACAGAATTCAAAGGGAAAAGCAGCCAAGCCCTGAATACCTACCTGTCATTTTCCTAAAGCCCAGGTCTAATCAATTATGTTACTCCCTTAACTCAATCATTAATCAATTCCAGTGGCTCCCTATTATTTCTAGGATCAAATATAAAAATGGCAAATTTTTGTTGTTTCATGATACATACATATGTGTGTGTGTGTATATATACATACATATATACATATGTATATGTACATCAAATATAGAAATATATATTAAGTAGATCATATATGTCAAATATAAAGCATTTAAAGCTCTTCACAACCTGGCCCTAACCTATCTTTCCAGCCCCACTGCACCTAACTTCCTTTTTTATCCTTTCTATAATGCAAGCCAAACCATCCTTGCAGTTCTCATGCTTGGTATTTTAGATCCTCTCTCCAGAACTTTGCGCTGGTTGTCTCCCATGCCTAGAATGCACTCCTTCCTCACTTCTGCCTTTTAGCATCCCTAGTATCCTTCAAGGATCAGCTCAAGTGCCACAGTCTATAAGAAGTCTTTCTTGAAATGATGAGCAAGCAGACTTCAGAAAAACCTCAAAAGACTCATATGGACTGATGCTGAGTGAAGTGAGCAAAACCAGGAGAACATTGTACACAGTAACAGCCACACTGCACGATGACTAACTTTGACAGACTTAGCTCTTCTCAGCAATGCAAGGATCTAAGACAACTCCAAAAGTCTCATGATGGAAAATGCTATCCACATCCAGAGAAAGAACTATAGAGTCTGAATACAGATCGAAGCATACTATTTGCTCTTTTTTTTCCTTCTATTTTGTTTTTGTTTCTTCTTTCTTATGGTTCCTCTCTAATGGTTCTAATTCTTCTTTAAAACATGACTAATATGAAAAGATGTTTAATAGGAATGTATTTGTAGAGCCTATATCAGATTGCATGCTGTCTTGGGGAGGGAGGGGGAGAAAATTTTAAACTCAAAAGTTTATGGAAGTGAAGGTTGAAAACTATAAATAAATTAACTAATTTTTAAAAAAGTCTTTCTTGAAATCCCAGAACTAGTGCTCTTCCCCAAAAATACCTTCTATCCATTGTGAATTTACCTTTATAGATATATGCTGTATATCCACATATGTATATATGTGTGTGTATATATATATATGCTGTATATCCATATATATGTAGGTATATATGTATGTATGTATATGTATATGTAGCATATCCATATATGTATACAGATAGACTATAAGTTCCTCTAGGCCAAGGACTGATTTATTTTTGTCTCCCAATACCTAATGCAGTGCCTGGCACAAAGCAGTGTCTTAATCAATGCTTTTTGATCAATTGAGATTCTTCTCCCACTCTAAGAATGCTTTTGCATTAGTTATGAAGATGCATCCTCTCACGTTACCTTCTTCGAGCAAAGCACCCAGTGCTGGGAGCCTGACCCATCATTCCATAGACTTCTTAAGCCTCAGTTGTCCCTTTCCTACTGGGATCCCATAGCCTCTGGTCACCAAGCTCCAAGAATTAGCCTTTTAGAGCCTGGGCAGGGCTTCAATTCCTACTAGTCTTATCCTCCCTGCCCAGGCCATGAGTCAACCAATCCACAGCCATGAACTGATTTAATCTGTTGTGGAGGAATCAAAGACAGTAATCACAGCCTCTTCTGTCAAAGAACTGAGAGCCTGGCATGGTTGTGAGTGGTGTAGCATTCTAATCAAATCTTTCTGATACTTTAGCCCCTTTGGATGGAGGCCAAGACAAACTCTGCTGCCCTGCAGCAGGGCATGTCATAGCTAAGCCTCCCTGGAGCGAGCCCTCAGAGACCTTCACATCCCCCAGGAAAGGAAGTGCCATCTTCCACCCCAGACAGTACTGAGTCACACGGCCTCACTGAGCAACCTCAGCCCAAGAATAACTCAATCCAGTGTTTGGTCTGGAGCAGAGGCCTCAGTGGGGCAAGGCCCTCCATGTGGATGAACAGTTATTCGGCTTGGCAGAGTTCAAGGGAGCCATTTCTTAAGTAACTACCACAGTTTGTTTGTGTTGAGTTATTATTAATGACCAGAGAAGCTTTCTTCTAAATGGAGCAATGTCCAGATATATCTGACAGCAGTCAAAGGAAAAACCCATGCAGAGAGCCCTCTCCAACATTAATAGCAGCTGAAACAGAGAACCAGCTCTCCTCAACACTCATTTAAGTCAGTTAACAAGCATCTATTAAGTGCCTACTATATACTGGGCATTTGGCCAAGTGCAAGAGGGAGGGAGGGAGGGGGAAATGGGGAGGGAGAGAGAGAGGGAGAAGCAGAAAAAAGGCAAGGAAACAGCCCCTGCTCTCAAGTAGCTCACATTCCAATGAAGGAGACAACATGCAAAAAACTGGTCATACAAGGTATATAGATATAGTGTAATTGAGAGATAACCATAAAGGGAAGACACTAGGAGTTGGGGGACTAAGAAAGACTTCCTACAAAAGGCAGAATCTGAGCTGAGGCTTGAAAGAAAGCCAAGAGGCAAAGGTAAGGCAGAGCACAGTAAAGATCTTCCCCCATTTCCCAATAGGGCAAAGGTTGCTTAGACAAACTTTCCACCTGAGTGTCTCTAACAATGCTGTCTAATCAAGGGGCACAACTAGGCAGAGGCCAGAAGGGCAGCTGCACTGGGAACAGATGGGGTACAGAGTTTTGCTCAGCTGATCAGCCTAATTGCAACTACTGCCCTTGTTTCGTGTTGATTCAATCACGCCCTCCTCAAAGATAGGAAACTGTGCCTTCTACTCATTCATCAATTCATTCAAAAAACATTTAGTAAGCACCAGTAGAATACTTCTAAGGAGATGACAATTAAGTTCATCATGCTAGTAAAAAACAAACTGCTATGGGAAGCAGGCTATTACAGTGAAAGGAAAAAACAACCATTGGTCGGTCACAGGACCTGGATTCAAATGTGAACCCTGCCACTTCTTGCCCATGTGACCTTGAGCAAATCATTTAGCATCAGTAAAAAGTGTGTGCGGGTCAACTAGATGACATTTAAGGAATCTTTCAGTTTTAAATCTAAAATACGATGGCCCTTTGTACAGGATTTTGCACATAGTAAGTAATCGACAAGTGATGATCAGCTAGAAATATTTTCTATGTGTTGGGCAGTCTTGAGAGTTGGGGAAAGTGTGGACAAACTAGTATCCTTCAAGGATCAGCTAGAAATGAGGACAAAGAGGAAGGATATGATTCTTAGAGCTCAAACTGTCATGGTCCCCCTTTCTCCTCCCATGGGGTACTCTGACTCAGAACAGGTGGAGATGAAATCTCAATGTTCTCCCTGCTCCCTAGACCAGATGTGGACACTTGTTCTGCATTTAGACACTACCCTGAGATCTAGGGGTTAGCAAGTCTGATCAAGATGAAGAGGCAGGGGGCAGCTGGGTGATGCAGTGGATAGCATATTGGCCCTGAAGTCAGAAGGACCTGAGTTCAAATTCAGCCTCAGATCAAACATTTGACACTTACTAGCTGTGTGACCCTGGGCAAGTCATTTAACCCCTTGCCCAAAAAAAAAAGATGAAGAGGCAGAAGTTACTAAACCTAAAGAAGAAGTTACTAAACCTGGTCTGGGTTTGGAGTTAAGAAGATCTCTATTCAAATTCAACCTCAGGCACTTAATAACTTCATGACCCTAAACACAACACTAAACCTGTCTGTGCTTCAATTGTCTCATCTGTAAAATGAGAGGCTTAGGTTTGATTTAAGGTCCCTTCCAGTGCTAAATCTATGATCCCATAGATGATGTATAAACTCATAGAACTACAAACACACACTTGCTCCCTGTCTCCTCAAATCCCATTCAAAGAGTGAAATAGGATGTAAAGGAAAAAATTCTGGATTGGGAATCAGAAAAACTGGGTTCTGGCTCTAAGCCATTATATGATCTTGGATAACAGTCTGCACTTTGGTTTCCTAATATATAAAAAGGGGCTATTGGGACTAGAAGGTCTCTAAGGGACTAGCTCTAACATTGTTTGCTCTCAGGCCCCTTCCAGCTTTGATATTCAATATTTCTACATCTCTACTAAGCCGTGGCCTGAACTAGAGATTCTGCTGTTTACCAATGAGTTCCCAGGAATCTTGAAGAGAGTCAGGCTGTGCCACAGAAGATCTCAACCCCTCTTGCTAAAAATCCCTAATCAAGCAAAAAGGTGTGTCTGCAAGTGCGCATGTGTGAAGATAGAGATATACACATACTTTCACACAGATCTATCATAGAGACCACTGGGCTAGAAGGGATCTTAGACATCAAATCTAGCTGCCTTGTTTCACAGATTGTTGTTGTTCAGTAGTTTTCAGTCATGTCTGATTCTCCCTGACCCCATTTGGGGTTTTCTTGGGAAAGATACTGGAGTGGCTTGCCATTTCCTTCTCCAGTTCATTTTACAGATGAGGAAACTGAGGCAAACAGGGTTAAGTGACTTGCCCAGGGTCACATAGCTAATAAGTATCTGAGGCCAAATTTGAATTCAAGTCTTCCTGACTTCAGGCTAGGTGCTCTATCCTAGCTGTCCCTTTTTTCACAGATAAGCAGACTGAAATCTCAAGTCGTCAAGTGGTTTACCCAAGGTTTCACAGG